TCATGTGGCAAAAAGTCGATAAATGCTTCATTAAAAGGTTCTAAGAAAAATAAAAAAAAAAAACAGAAAGCTACGCGTTTATACTTATGCATTTCGTATTGTTATCCTCCTTTATCATTCCAAAGTTGATACCGATGTATTATTGAATTTATCGTAGACCGAACTTCATGGCATTCTTTTGTATCATTTCTTCACGTCTTGTTTGATTTTTGCTTGTTTGATTGATTTACAGCGTACCTTTACCGTCTTATGTATAATGGCGAGCTAATCTCAATTAAATTGTATATTAAGGGATGAAAAATTTACAAATAATTTAGTCGTCAAATTCAATAAATTACGTCTCATATATTACATTATTATAAAATTTACCCCTGGTAAAAGAAAAGAAGCGATAGTTTCAACAAGCAATTCCTGATTTTAAACACAGAGGGACAGAGAAAGAGAAAGAGAGAGAACACTTTCCTGCAGATTCGTTTTCGCAGAAAGTTAACACCACGCTATCGGAAATTACAGAGATCATATGAGCAGTGACACGGCAATAAGATACAAGTATAACAAGGAAAGTGTACGAATAGTGTGGCCTCGGCTAGAGTAAATTGAACTGTTCTATGGAACTTTCGCCGGTGTTCGCACTCCACTAATTCGAGCAATAACTAAAACTCGCGGTGAAACGGAACACGAGCGGGCGAGAATTAAGTTCCAAACGGATGGCAGCTTATCAGAACTCGAACGTCGCGACAAATTCACTAGCTACTTGCATTCGGCTCAGACCGAATATCTCTGCCAACTTTGAAGACAGTATGGGTACTTTCAACTTGTATCGTCTTCACTTTCCGCTCCCTTTTGTGAGTTTAATATAATATTATATCAACTGTAGCAATATCTTGACATATTATTCAAACATTTAACGAAGCTACAAACTAGCGGTGCCTACTTTGACTGTTTTCTGATACTGTTTGGAACAAGGTTTAGGATTTAGTTCATGAGCCAAAATTAGAGAAAAAAAAGCAGAGATTTTATTTTAGTGTAAATTTGAGCACTATGTTTGAACTGTTGAATTGTACTTTTGTTATTTTATGCTCATTACGAGGACATTTAATGTGTACAATTTCTCATTACACAATTTGTTTTACGAGGTAAAACTTTATAGAATTTAGAAGGTCAGAACTTTATACGGCTTTTTGTACTGGTTTTCCATATGTATAAAGTAAACTAAATATTCAGACCCTCAAAATGCCAAATACTTTCATCTGTATCCTAAATTTTAGAACGACCAACTGCTTTACATGTTTTCTCATCGAAAAGGAGCTCCGCAAAATATCGTCCTATCAGAACTTTGCCTCGTCTTTTTCTTTCCGGTAAAAATCGACGAATCGATCACCCAATTTTCAATGACACACGAAAGCAGCGTGCACATATAATGAAAGATGTATCGGAAAACGGAGGAGGGCTTCAATAACAGTCATAAAACAGTGCGGCTTGAACGAAAAAACATCTTTCTCCGTCACGAGGCGAACTCGTGTTGGCCTGTATTATTTTATACACCCGTTCGAAATGGATTTTTAATGAATTTTGAAACACGATGAACAACACGTTTTCATATTTCGTGGTTAAAAAAGAAAATGTACATATAAAACCGATTACATTCTCTTGTTTAAACTAGGGAACGCTGTTAACCGGTTCTATTGTTTTCTCATCCGTTGTTTCGTTCGTTCTTGAGAAGAATATTTATGAACATGTGGTGGAGCGAGAAAGTGGGTCGTGCGTGTTGAATGACAGAGATATTTCGAAAAATTGTTGTTCCCCGGCAGAATACCATTTCGCCAACTGTTTGAAGAGTAATTTGACAGGAACAATTGCATGTTATGCGCTCGTAAAATAAAATTTCATCGGTTGTGGATGAACGCGAGTGCATATGTCATGCTGCATCGTTTGTTTATTGGCGGTTCCTGGATAAGATAGGAATTTTTAGAAAAATGTTATTTCGAAGTAAAATTAATTCTGCAACTGACGTTGATATTGAATATGAATTAAATATTTCTTAATTGTACGACGAAATACTCATTAGAAATGTATCGATGAAATCATTATCATATTCTATTGAAGTAATTTTTTAAAATTGGATGCTTTCATATTAAATATAGTATTATCTTAAATAAAATATACGAAATTATCGACGTCGAAAAGATTCGTTAATTTTAAACGAAATGGTATATTATGGTAAAAAGATATATCGCTGATTTAAAAACTGTGAAACAATGGACAACGCATTGCTATTGGAAAATAATTGTTTCGTGATGCAAATGTAAGGCTTATCGGTCGTGAAAAAATGGCATGCCAGTATTCTTTTACTTATTTCCTTCTCTGCTTACAGAATAATTTTCTCGTGTCTATATTTCACATCTAATATCATCTCACATTCTTAGTAACAATGTCACCTATATAAATCGTAATATCCTTGCATTTCTTTCGAAACTCTTCGATTAACCCGGTTATAATTCACAACGTAATCCCTAAAACGTATCAAGCCACAAAATTCAATTTCCACTATTTGCGATAAACACCGTCCAATTGAATTTCGTCTGCTCTCATTCGAGTCTCCGGCTAATAAGCAACGGTAACAAAAGACAGAAGGAGGATATCGGAAACGATAAGATCGGCCGGAAGCCAAATACGGACTCGTTCCGTTTTCTGAACGCAATTATCCGACGGGTTGTCGAGTTCTTTTTTTTTTTCGAGCAGACAGTTTCGAGCGAGTTTCGAGTCGTTGAAAATAAAAGGATGGAGGAAAAGCGACGGTACGAAAGAGAAAGAGAGAAAAATCGGCGAAGCATAGTCGAAACTCGAGCGAACCGTAAACAATGCTACTGCCAGATAACGTTGGCCTTTATTGCACGCGTTGCCGACCCAACGACGCGAATCTGCAGTTTAGCATTATCGTTTCTGATGGAACTCACGACGAGAGGTAACGATCGATACGTACGCTCCACCCCCATTGTCGTGTTTTCGTGCGACAGACACGTTTGCCACTCGGTTTCCACCGACTTCCCGACCCTGCGATTCTCGGTTCATTCCCAACGATACGATCCATGGTGTAACAGATGTAAATTTGGGGAAAATGGAAATTCTATTAGGGCGGGTGAATTGGTTAGCCTCGACGCGACAGCTTGAAATTAATTGTGAAGCATTCGCTGTGAGGGGAAGGAGATGTTGAATAAAATTGTCACGATTTAAAAAGAAAGTGTTAATAATTATATTCTTCTTTATTAGATTTTTTGTGCAATATTTTTTGGAAGATGTTCCGTGTTTTTTTCTAGATGCTCAATATTTTATGTTTTTTTTTTTCACTTTTTACGTATATTATTTTCTTTTAACTATTTAACGCACACCACGCCAGTTGAAGGTTAACTTCATTTTAACTACTTTATATTCATTTATTTTTATCTTAGATGTATTTCATAAATATTTAATGTGTTATAGAGTATCTTGTTGCAAGCTTGAGTTTCATTAATTTTGTCCACAAGAAGAAAAAAGAAAGATATAAAATACGAAATCCGTAGGAAACGACGACTTTTAGTTCATCTATTTAATCGACAGTTTAAAGTCTCGGTGATCTCAATAGACCATATAGTGATGTGTATCTGAGATTCCAGATGATGATGTAATGATCTTAATGGTGAAAGACGTACGAATAGTTCCACAAGCACGTCATCACAATTTCGAAGCGATGAACGCAATCTTCCGACAAGCGATCTGTTTTCACCGGATCTGTGTCAATAGAGAATCGCTTCATGAACATACAAGGTGGTTGATTTGCGCGTTTGAAATTACTGAATTGCATCTATGCAATGAGAAAAATCCCTTTGAAACTACTAAAGTCATGTAAATGTGCGTAAATGAATTAAAAACGTGTAATACTATTTTATCACTCGAAACTCAGTTTCTGACAAAGTCTCATTCCACAGGTTCGCTTTATCCCCACAAATAATCGTCTCTTGTCTCCTTGCACGCAAAGAGAGATCCTCCCTGTAAAATCCAAGATAGATGGCTGTTACAAAAAATCGTGAAAAATGTAAAGCATAAAAGTTGCTAATACCTACTCAAACATAAGAATCAATTTTACACAGGACATAAGCATCAATTTGAAACTTTGTTTTGTCCTCCATTGTTATAGTCTGAAGTACCGTTTTTCCTCCCCTATATCGTGTACTTTCCTTTATACCGTGGCTCATAAAATAAAGAACAATTCGAACAAGCATTAAACGGAAGTTCTCTTTTCCAAACAGGAAGCTTAATACGTTCCACCTTTCGAGAACCAGGGCCCACGCAAGGGACGATGAAATATTAACGGGAATTTTCGCGGTACGAAGATGCGTCGAATTATTTATAGAACTCGCGGCTGGAGAGTTTGCGTCGTCCGTAATTTTCACACCCGGTTTCTCCTGTTTTTCCTGTGTTTTCAACAACCGCGTGCTGGACAGAAATAATTCACGACGAACCAGTATGTTCACCGTGTTAAACGGCCTCGTTTATTATGCGTCGTTTCGTCGCGCATATCGTGTCCACGACATAATTCTCCGCGACACCATCTTCACGTGTACGAGAAAAACGAAATCGGGGAGATATCGATAGAACAAATGAGTCCTTTCCCGCTTTTTCTCTTTCTTCATATTATAATACTAACTATAGTAATCACTGGACTACGAATTTTTATGGATTCATAAGAAATTTGAAGGTACGAAAATTCAGAGAATAAGCCAAACGTGCAGAAATACGTAAAATGTCCTAAATATGATGATATGATATACGTTGTATAAGTTTTGGAAGGTAAAACAAACCATTATTTAGCTTCTATTTCTGTAGTTTTATTTATAAAAATATCAATTTGCATCCGCAGTATGGTAATCAACTTCGTAATAAAATTGTTTCATCAAATGTCTGACCTGTACTGCCAGTTACCACTTATATGTCTGATGAACCGAGGAGAATAACCTTGTAGCTAAATTGTAATTTTTGGTTTATTAGTAAAATTTTTAACAAATCATTACTGAGATTCTTTCAGGTTTATGCATCAGACGTTATTTTTTCTGACGATATTTATCTAAAAAAAACATACAACTATTTCACGTAGATATATTTTTGACAGTGTCATTTGAAACGAAAAAATGAATATATGACAACGCATACGTGTTCGTATAGGCTGCTGCACTTGGCATAGAAAACTCCGATGGAATTTCGAGCAACGTGACTCAAAGTTAGCCCGACTTAAGCCAGCAAGAAAGTTGTTGCGTCCGTTCTGCTACAGTTCGTGAATTATTTCGGTCGTGCCTCTTCTTGGACACGACAAATTTACATATAATTGCCAGTGAGTAAATCGTTCGTATCGTTCTAATTCCAATCTCGTTTCTTCGAGACATTGAACTCGGATCAATAAATCACCAACTGTTTCTAAAACAAGGAAAATCGTTCGACAAACGTTTTTACAAAGCGTGTATTATTATTGATGAAATGTTTAAAAATAGGAAATTTTTTTAACAATTTCGCCCTTTTTTCGAAGAAATGCATTGAATATTAAAATGGTAAAGAATTGGTAAAAGATGTGCGAAAATATTGAGAAATATTAAGAAGTACATAAGAAATTGTGAAAATTATTTTAAAAGTCTGTTCTTAAAAGAGAAAAAATATTAAATATCAAATTAATAATGTTGGTATTAAAAATATTAAAAACTAGGAACATGTAAAAGTTTTCAAGTGTATAAAAAGACAAATAATAATTTAAACAATAGAGTTTCTCGAAGAAAAGGTTAATGGTAGCTTGAGAACTTCCTCGAAAATTAGATTGCATTGTCAGGAACAGAGGAGATATTTTAAACGATGATGATGTCAAGTACAGCAATTTCAGTACAATACAATACTGAGGAAAATTAAATATAAAAAAGAAGGACACGAAAGAGATGGAGAATGTTTATAAAATGAAAAATGTAATGTACTATTGTAAATGTATAATAAACATATAATGTATATCTTAAACTCATACCTTAAGCTCAAAAATTTAGAAATCATATTAGTCACTGCTTTATTGTATATTTTAACCACGATTGCTTACATAAGTCTGAATAACTTGGCGCTACACGTCCCGTAGATGGAGCTATGTATAAAAATAAAATCGAATGTACACTGATGTAAATATGACGAATTATAGGAAACATTAACTTAATGTCTATAGATAAACTGAACGTTTTGATTCTATTTTATAATTTCTCAACAAGAGAAACGTATATATTTTAAAATACAAGATAAGCATGTTTAATACTCGTATTGTACATTTATGTCTACGAAGATATATGTCTTTGATTTTTTCTTCATTTATGTGAAAGAATCACTCGTACGATTAACACTGACTGATGAAGTTAAAAAACGCAAAAAAACTATCGTTCGATGCATGCAATATACTACGATTCTTAAAATTTTCATATTGATCATATCTTCTTTGGTCACGAAAATCAATACATAACGAAATACTTTTGATTACATTTTTCTGGAATAAAAGTACTCTACTATTTTGAACGATGCAACGTTACGAAGTATTGGATCATTGAATATTTATCATACTAATCACCTATCGGTAAATTTGCTTTAAGGAAACATGTCCATATCTTAAATCAAAATAAACATTAATATACCGATATTTAATTTAAAATAAACCAACAAAACCGCGAACTTCTCGATATTTTCGCGAATTTCCCAAACAGCGTTCAAATAATACAATTGACCAAATATACACGAGCCTCTAAAACATAGCAAGTTTATAAATTTCCTTCGCGTATAAATCGATCGATTTAATTTATCTCCAAAGCTCTTTAGCACGATGGAATCAATTTTATAATTATTTGGTAATAAGGCAAATTTGATAATAAAGAAAGTTAAGTTCTGTAAGTTCTCTAAATTTCATAAATTCATTAATTAGCTTATTATCCTAACTGAGCTAAAATTGTAAAATGATAAAAGAGAAGTTTATGATGTATAATTTGTAACTTATCAATTTCCTAATTTGATTTATTACTTAATTATTATACAAGAGAGAATTTTATTAGAAAATTACGAAAATTTGGAGAATATTGAGATCGTGTTTTGAAATCACAGCGTAATCACGAGCACTGTTATCCTTCGACTAAATCCCAGACAATGAGCTCAATAAACTCGATTGTCTTCGCGACAGCTCGCGACTATGAGGAATCTGGGGTAACGAGACACGCACGTCGAGAAGGTCGCGATGGTCGCGCAATCCGCCCGACGTTTCTAATCTATTTCGAGCTGCGGGAGGTTTCTAGTTTCTAACAGTCTGCTCTGAACGTGCTGGGTATGCGGAACGACAATCGCGTGTGAAAAGAATTGTCAGGTTCGTGTTTGTGCTTGTCGATTGAATTGCGATCGCGAAAGAAATATTTAATCTCGTTAATTTCAATCCTCGTTACGAAGATTTGATTGCGTTTGAAAGAAATAACTGAGAATATGAATTGATCGTGATTATGGCTTGATTTGCTTGGGTTTGTAGTCATTTTTTATGAAATTGTATGGAAAATGAGTGTTATAGTAAAGTAAAGATGAAAATATGGGTGGACTTTGAAAAAGCGAGAATCCTCACGAGGTTTCGATTTCAGTAGTAAAGTCAAGCATTTTTGAGCCGCTTGATTTCAGATAATTTCAGAAAAAATACTTGTTTAACCCCTAACTGGAAAGTTTGATATTTTCCCCGTTGTATAGATATGTAGTTTTTCAAATTATTCAATGATTTTATTTATTAAATATTACATATATAAAAATTAATTTTATATACTTTAAATAACGATGTATATTGATTTGGTAAGCTTTCTGTAGTTGAAGACAATTACATTCTAAAGCTTATAAAATTCGTCATCTGATTGTGCCAATGAGATAAAAATTCAATCCAACTTCCTAGCATGCGTGATCTGTAGTTCAAGGTTACAGAATTGATAATATCGCGAAGGTAATGTTATTTATTTTTGCTGACATTATTTATGCTCGACTGAAGGTGTAACTATTCATCATTAATTGTGTATGTAAAATATATAATATTAAGGCTAATTTATTATCTAAGGACAAAATTTGCCTTCCTTTGAAGGTATGACCTTCAAAGATACCCTTTCTTTGTTTGTACCTTCAATATCATTCCCCAATAGAAAAAGAGGAATCCAAAAATGAAAACTAAAACCAGAAAATCCATTAAAATATATTCTTCCGCATATCATTCGTCGCAACGTTACATTTCCTCTAATCTAGTCAAATTTCCTTTCCTCATATCCGTCGACCTTCGTTCCACGTTAATTCGTTACATGTTGTTGGCGTTATTAGTTGAGTCGCCGTCGTCGACGATCCTCTTTCGAAGTTCCATTGGCACAGTTCCAAAGCATCGCGGAACTCCGCGAGGAAAATCCGACAGCGGAGAAGGCCAAAGCTGACGAAAATCTCGTTTCACACGGTGATCTGTCACTGCCGAATCGAGATGATTTCATCCTCGGCTGCGATCCACGTGCTATTCTGCATTGACGCTTTGTAGCCTTTAATTACGATCTCGACACTGCTCGGCCATCGAATTTTTTCCGATCTTGTCTCTTTTTCCTTCCACCCATGCTATTTTGTGCGCCAGTTACACGCGATCTCAAACGTTCTTGCGGACTTTTTGACGAATAACCGTTGCGGTGACAAACGATCGAGGAGAATATTGACACGTGATCCTCGTTGTTTGTCGATGTTTGTACGTGGAAATTGAGGGGATCGTGTGTGGAATTTATACGAAACGTTTGATGGGATTTCGAAGAGTAAAATAGAAGTCGTGAAATTCTTTTCCGCGCGTTGTTTCGCATCGATTTCAATTTTCGGCTTTGTGGAATCGAGGATTTGGTATGCGATAGAGTTACGCTGAATTGTCAAAAGCTACATTTTGGTCGACATCCTTAATTAGGACGATGAATCGAGAGCTGTTTGACAAATAGTCGTTAAAATAAATGATCGATGGTATTGACTGACGAATCTGGATGTTAGTTAAAGAATTACTCAGTCGATGTAATTTGTAAAATTGGTAACTGTTACTTTCAGAATGCATACTAAGATAAAAATATTAAATTTAAAATATGTAAGTTCTCCTTGGTCCGTACGATTTTTTACAGTACGACTATTAAAAATGAAACGTTTAAAACGATATGACCGAGATTCGTATATTTTCGAGATGAAGATCTGCAAGAAATCCGCAGTTTAGTCACCAATGACGTCCGATTCGAAATAAAGTTTCGCGATTTCTACGCGAAAGGATGAGATAAAAAGAGAATCACGACGCGAAGCCACTGGTCAACGATCTGAATCAACATCTGGCAATCCTCCGATTTATTTCTATCTTCAATCCTTTGTTTACCACTGTAAATATTTTCCGCTTTATGTACATATTTGAAGCGTGATGCACGATGCATCGACAACAACGTTTATTTATACGTTCACTCTGAAACTAATGTTAAACGTTAGAATATATCGATTTTTACCACTTGAGAAATTAAAATAACAACTTCTATTGTTTTTTACATATATTATCACTTGAACTAAAATTATTCGAATAAAACGGATAGTAATACTAATCGTATTCCCATCTGTTACCTCCTATCGGTATTCATTTATTCAATACGTGTCACAAATTTCCATTAGGACCATCCTCCTCAAATGAATTAAAAATCACGAATAGGTAATCTCATCAATTGCCCTAATTACCTGTCGCAAACGATCGAAAAATCGAACGAACCAATCGTTACCTCTATAAAAACTGATTCGTTAGTGGCGAATAAATTTCCATTTATTTTTTTTCTGTCGTGATTTATTATTCGTTTAGAAAATTCCTACAAACAAATTTTAATTACAAACTTGTCATAAAACTCGTTGTAAAAGTAGGAAAGCTCGTTCCTCTAATCACGTAGATATTACGAAGATATCTTCGAAAAAAAAGAAAAAAAAAAAGAAGAGATGCAAATGAAGAAAAAGAGGAGTCGTGCAGTATTTTACCGGACAAGGTAACAGCTATAGCCTAATTCGCATGAACGCGACGCGTTACCAATTTTTTCCGTGGCTCATAAAGCTGGTTATAGTCACGAACGTGACGCAGAGGGTAGTTTACGCGTGAATCCTAAACGCGCGAGCTTATTATCCCAGTGTGTATGGCACGAGTTGGAGAGTAAAAGGTGGAAATGGCAATTTTGAGGCGCACTCGCAACGATATTTCCCGAGTTAGCCAAACGTGTCTCGTGGAAAGCGCAGTAAAACGAAGAACGTACGAAATAATGAAGAAGAACGACGCAATGCCAGGAAACGAAGTCGCCCCGAGTTTCGACGATTTAATGCCGAGCCATCTCCGGCCGTTTCTTTCGCCGATAAAAACACCCGTTTCCATCTGTGAAACGCGTCAAAGCGAAATACTCAACGCTTTTTAGTTTACTTACAATTAACGTTTTTTTAAATAATTTACCTTATGATATTAATTTTAATGTTGATAACGAAATGTGTTTTTACGTGGCTCTTTAAAAGTAAAATGTTCATTTGTTCGTTTAATACGTAAATCTCTATATTTCAATACAATTCGCCACCCTATTTTACAATTGTTCTGTGTCCACCAGTTTGTAAACTAAGAAAACTGAGTTTAAATGAAGTGTAATATGATCGTGTTAGGACTTGAAAGGACTGAATATTTGTTTCTCTCTGAGTAGCATTTTTGTCATATTATCATAAATGTGTCTTCTTTCTATTAATGAGACATACGTGGATTGATCAATTACACTGTTTCTAAAAGTGGAATTGGAACAGTTAAGAGCTAAGGGGGCGAATTTTCTTCAAAAGAATTTTTCCTCTATTATCAATAACCAAAATGAATACAGATATTCGTCACAAATCGCCAAGTTCAAATATTTGTTAGAAAGTACAATTTCATATTCCAAAGATATTACAACCCGCAATGCAACCTAGAATTCCTTCAAAAAGAAGCAAACGAATGCTTGAAGAAGTTAAAGAAAAGAAACAAAAGTACAACAAACGGAACGAAAGGAGCGATCTAAAACTTTCGAAAGTTTAAGACTGTTGAAAGACCAACGATTCGCTTGAAAACCAGATACTGCATTAACGAAAGAAAGAATTCTGGATTAAAAGGTAGAAGGTGCACGAGATATAGAATCGATAAAATAGATAAAAGGCAAAACCGCTCGCGCGATCCCCGACCATTGTCTCTGGTCCCGCTCTGACCGGTCTGGAATTTTTTTTTCTGTTGCAGAGCCGAAGAAGGAAAAGACTGAACAGAGTGCAAATGGCGCGGTATCGCCGAGCGGTGAGCCGCAAGCGAATCAGGGCAC